TAACAAAGAGTTTATTTTTGAAAGTTGTGAGTCCAGGTCCTGGAGAGGTGCGACTTTTGAGTCAGGTGGGCGATAAAAACTTCCTATCTGCAGCGTCTGGCCTTGGAGGGTAGCTTGACACCATATTTGTTCAGAGTCAGTACCCAAATCAGTTCTTTCAAAACAAGGAATGGAGTCGTTGATGGCAATAAACACGCCACCTCCATGCGAATTTCTGTCCTTTCTAAAAACTTGAAGGTGAGGAGGGAAAATTTCGGCAGACTTGACTGACGGGTCCAGCCAAGATTCTGTTCCAATAATGATATCAGGATTCACAGTTTCAATGAGCGAAGTAATACCTGCAGTTTTTCCCCTAATACTACGACAATTTATAATTGCAATTTGGATTCCAATGTGACCGGTGACGTTTCGGTGGGCTTTCTGCTTCTGGGTGTCTGGTCTAGGTTTAGGTGTATTTCCATCGATGGGACTTGGGGTGATTTTCTTACTAGTCTTTCCATCCTTCCCAACAATTGTCCAGGTATTATCTATTCTTGTGAGTTTCAATGGGGGAAGAGGGTTTCTGTCCATTTTGATTGGAGTCTTACGAGTCTTATGAGGTAACTTACTAGGTCCGGAACGGATAGGGCTAGATGATCGTGGGTTCGTGTGGTTCCACTGGTCTTCGTTCAAGGAAGTAAGACTTTCAAAGGGATTTAATCCTGACAGATCAGAGTCAGTTGATGAATCAAGAAATGAACTAGTAGCAGAGTTCATAACATCACACAGAGGGCAAAGCCAAATGGCGTTTGAGTTTTCAGCATGAAAATTTAAGGTGTTATTTGACACATTTGAACAGTTTAAATGAAACCAGCTTGTACACTCTGAGCACTGAATGCCGGAATCTTTCACAGCGCGCGAGCATAGCCCACAAGGATATTTGGGCTTACGTCCACGTTGCCGTTGGTGTACTTTTGGCCCAGGGCCTGGGTTGAGGCTAATGTCCCCAGCCAATAAATTTATTATAATGAGCAGTGGTAGACGACCCCTAGGATGGCCCAGGAAGGGGGTAGATGAATGTTTTAGCCCATTTCCTCGAAATACATTTAGTGCAGACGAATAAGAGATTATGTACGCAGCTCGTAAATCAGTTTGGAATGCTGACATTTTCAACATGCACATATCATGATGGGGGGCAAAGTGAGAGTCAAAAAAAGGAACAATCCTACCGTAAGTCTTCTGGGTGTATCTTGACAAACCATGAATGCCAGGGTAAGGGTCCCTTTCACATTCTCGGTAGGTCCGTAGTCCAAGTTGGAAGAAGGAAATCAATAAGAGCAGGCAGAGTGCTGGCATTGATGATTCTCGCTGCTTTTCGCTTTCAGTAGATCTTGTACCGGATCCGCGTCGTCCATGTCCGGTGAGAAACATGTCGTCGATGTAGGGCTGCTAAGTGCTACTAGACTATCTAACAAAGTTAGCGCTTGCTTTCAAATTTACGACGGAAGTTAAAAATATTTCAAAAATTTGAAGTCTACTAATAAAATTTTGTCCACAAGTATCAGTTTGGAATAATTTATTCAGGCGATAAAAATACATATAAAAGTTCACAATACGAAGTAGAAGTCTAAAATGTGCGATGTCGTAAGATCCAAGATGGCGCGGGAGATATTCGACACATCGCGTGTATGTTGAATACGTCGCTGTGTAGCGTGGTGTACGTATTCGTCGCTGTGTATAAGACACTACGCTGTGTGTTGTGCGAATAGACGAGTGGCGGGAAATTTGCTTCACCGAAAATTTCCAAAGTTAAAACCGCTGTAAAGCAGGAAGATGTCCATTAAAAAGCACAAAACTAATCTTGATTTGTAGCATAAAGATTACTTTTCACGATGAGATGTTAAAAACAACTTAGAAGGTTAAAATTCGCGAAAAGAAAATAGAAAATAAAATGTAAAACGGGAGCTCCAGAAAAACACGTCCACTCTCGACCGCGACCACTATCCGTCATTTGTCATTTGATTACAAAGGAAGAACTAAAGCAGAAAACTCCTTCATTTGTGTTTTTGCCTTCCACTGCATATCATGTCCATTATTTTTACACTAATGAATATGAAGTATTATAATATCTAGTGCTTTTATTAAATTTGTATTAGATTTAGGTTAATGCATATTAACTCAGATATAAATCTAAATGCATGGTAGTTTTCATCTTATGGATATGTCTGTGTCACTGAAAACAAACAAACAATGAAAGTGTGGGTAGCTTCAAAAGAGCTCTGTATTAACAGATAATAACATACCTACAAATTGTTTCAAAATATCCTTATACATCTACACAAAAATCATCATTCCCCCCCCCCCCCCCAAAAAAAAAAAAAAAAACATACAGAAAGAGCCCTCATGAGCAACAATAATCACACACAAAAACTGTCTGGTATTTATTATTCTTTAATTGGATAGAAATGGGCAATAGGTAAAGGTACATGTATCTCTCTTTATTTTTGATGGAATAATATGAGAGAGATGTTAGCTACCAGGTTACGTTTTGTTATTTTATGCCCTAAAAGTCTTCATGATAATAATATGCCAAATTACCATAATTCTGCCACTGACTGGAATCTAATCTCGTCTATTTTTATTTCTTCTCTTGTGTAATGTCCTAGGCTTGTACACAATGTTCAGTGAAGTTAATTCTTATATTTTCTCATTAGATATCTCCTTCCCCTTTCCTAACATTAAATCGGGTCCTCATGTTTTTTGATAGCAATGATTTTTTTTTTTTAAATAAAATGTACAATAAAATATTCATTTTCTATTACTCAGGATTCTTATATTGAAATTGATTTACGGAACTAAATCTATGTGCGTGCTTTGGGATGCACTCAGCAAAGCAAGTTCTATATTAAATAATCTCTGATCATACATGTACATGTATATAATATTTTGCATGCGTTCAATGACACCGTGAGACTATTGATTTGCCCTCAGGAAGAATGCCCCTCATGCAGCAGCCTCTGTAATAATCCTCATTCATTTCATCTGCCAATGCAAGCAGGCTGTATTGTATTAACCAATAACAAATTCTCATTTGACTCCCATCTCGTACATTCACACAGAACTTGGTTCGAGAGAGAGAGAGAGGTTGAAAAAGGTTGAGGCTCATTACGCAGTCAACGCCACATCCATTCAATACACCCAGGCCCGGCCGTCCCCACGAGGAGCTAATTAAGTGTGTGATCGCAGCGGAGTACCGTCACAGGTGTCCTTACGCTTGCTTCACACGCTACCTGTGACAGAGACATGAGAGGGGTCGTCGTCGAGTGAGTGACCAGGTCATCCATCGACGTTTCGTGAGCCTCTATCTTTGAGTCACTGTGTAGGAGGCCGGTCGGTCAAGTCAAACTTGGTAAAGGTAAGGGGTACAGGGTGGTGAGGGTGGATTTTTTTAGTTGCATCATGTAGATTTATGCATGCTGTTACGGTGTGCCTTGAATTATTAGTCATGCTATGCAATTAGGTGTGGACACCATCAGGTATTGATCTGTTGCATGTAGGACAGGTTCTATGTATATCCATTCATGTTCAGGTATGCATGAAGTACATTACATGATATTTTGATATTGAGGTAATTAACAGTTAGTGGAAGGGAGGCAATTTAGGATTACTTTTACTTGGTGATGCTATGCCTTGCTAGGAACAGAATTTGTATCATTCTAATTGAAAATGTTCTACCTCTGAATATTGAGCAATATTCTTAGAACTTTCAGGGATGTTATATTTGCATTATATGCCAAATTAATAAATAATCAAACTACTTTGATGACCACATCAACATTTTAAATGGTATTCTTGTCTCCAGACACAAGTAAGGATAAAGTTAAAACCCTAACCCGACTCCCTTCAGAAATAACATACCTATATTCTTTTTTAATTGTAAGGAAAGTTGGTTATTTAACTTTAATGGAAACCCTGTGGAATGTTGCATTGTAATGTACCATCATTGGTGAAAGGGGTATAAAGAGATCCTTACAGAAAGGGAAAGGTTAAAGGGGAAAGAGGATATGGGAGGGGGAGGGGGGAAGGGGTTGAAACATCCCAGACATTGGGTGGACAAGATAGGTCTGTCCTCATGCCAGAATAACACAGGAAGTGGTTATTTCTACAGGACATGCTTCCAGATTACACTTAATTACTTGTGAAGGGGGTGAAGTACGTACAACAATCATGGAGGTACCACCTAGTAATAGCTCAACATTGCATATATATATATACAGGACAATATGCGATCCTTGGTATTATCAAGTGGATAGTGTAGAGTTGACGTGATTAGGATGACTTTGTTTTCATACATACATGTAGCATCTATATATCATTGGTATATGCTAGCCTGTGGACATTTTTTGTTTTAGTTTCTAAACACTCTAGTGATTCCCAAATCCCTATTGTAAGTATGATTTGATGCCAGACTTGTGCCATAACCAAATTGCTGAAAAGCAAAGGGAAACATGAGTTGTGTATTGCTAAGGACAGAGATTTTTAAAAGTGAGTTTGGTTTGTACTAATTGGAATTATTTTACATGATTTAGAATGTATCCATAGAGAAAATGTGAGATATTGGAGTTATCAAGGAAGAAATACAGTATTATCAGTTATATTTTAAGTGGACACAATAGGTCACATGTGATGTAAAAATAGGTATTTTTTTATATCTTTGTAATCACATATGTGACGTCATATATTTTTCTTTGTACAGCTTTCATCTATGAATATGAAATGAAAGTGAAATTAATGGCAATGTAAGTGGTGAAGTGCTTGTAAGCTGCAATTTTATTCAGATAGAAAGTAATGTTTGCATGATAAATGGATATATCATAGTTTCTAAGAATGAGTGTTTCCTTTTGTTTTTCCCGGTTGTAGTAGTTACAGCTTGCTCAGTTTCATATGAGGATCTGTCCACAATACAATTAAAGTAAGATCATCGTGCAATCCCAATTATTTTGAGTTTTGTTTCTTTTTCATTCTCTTGCCAGTTTTAGAAGTCTTGAGGACATCAAATCACCCTTGATTGAGACTGAAGTTGCTTCTTTTGTCTACTTGGTCATTGAGGCCTTTGTAAGGATACCTGACAGAAAGGATCACCAGTAATGGCCTCTGTATGGAAGAGACTTCAGAGGGTTGGCAAGAGGGCTGCCAAGTTCAAGTTCACTGGTTCTCTACACGAACTAGCAGTGGAAGCAACCAAAAAGTGGTAAGTTTTCTAGGGAGGAAAGCAGAGTTATATTGTTGTGTGCCCAGCAGAAAGACATGAATTGAAGTGCAGACACCAGATGTACATTCTTAGAAAATGCTTTTCAAGTTTTGGAAATTCGTTGACAACATCTAGTTACTAAGATTTTTCATCTGTAGATCATCCAAAGTGTTGAAGTCTAGTAACCCTTTTCTAAAACCATTTCTCTTTTGTGGGATTTATAGATTAAAAAGGTTCTGACTTAGGTTATAATCCTACCATTTATAGCCAAACCTTCCAGGGGCAACAGGAATGTATATTTTTTTTAACCATGATCTTAGCAGATGCAGCATCACTGCCCATTAGCTTCAGCGATTAATGACAGTGTTACAACAGCATGGTGTTGGTGAATGACAGCTAACAGAATGCGCATGTATACACACCACACGCAGTAGAGGAGTAATATCAACATGGCCCAGTTTAGCCTTATGAATTAAACAAACTCTGCGGCCAACCAGCTAGCGTGGATGCCTGTGTAACAACACCAAGCGAGAGAAACCTCGCCAGGGATGCCAGTCATCCCAATCGTCCACTCTCACATGAACTGAGGGGCCAGAGCAGATGGTGCAAACAACGAGTGTAAGCTTACACTCGTTGCCATGGGTGCATTCTCGTGCCGGACAGGACTTTCTTCCTGTTTTGCCCTCATATCAAGGCCTTATCCTACATAACCGATAGTGATAACTACATTCATGAATAAAAGTAGACTTTATTATGTGACATATTTTATTAAAAATTTGAGAAAATGAAAGTGTTTGAGACTTTCATCCACATTAAATCTATTTCAAACTGCTTGCAAATAGTTTGGAAAAATTCATTCTATGAAATTGACTTTAGTTGTTGTAATAGAAAGGAGTTTGCCTTTCTTGTTTTTTTGTTCTTTTAGTATGCACTGATAGACGCTTGTTAGAAAAAAATTCAAAACCTCACACAGAGGTGTCATTTTAAAGACACAAGTCAATATATATTTGTTTATTATTGGTTATCATGATTTTTCAAATACAATACTTCTGAAAGATATTAAGCTTAGTATATAGTAAGCTTACACTGGTTGCCATGGATGCATTCTCGTGCCGGACTGGACTCTCTTCCTGTTTGGCCTTCAGGCCTAGTCCTTCTAAACCGATAGTGATAACTACATTCATGAATAACAATAGGCTTTGTATTTCACATGAAAGTGTTTGAGACTTTCATCCACATTAAATCTATTTCAAACTGCTTTGAAATAGTTTGAAAAGATTTAGCCTACGAAATCTACTTTAGTTATTGTAATAGAAGAGGAATGTGCCTTTCTTATTTTTTATTTCTCTTAGTATGTTTAATGCACTGATAGGCACTTGTTAGAAAAGAATCAAAACCTCACACAAAGGTGTAATTGTAAAGACACAAGTCAATATACATGTATATTTGTTTATTATTGGTTATACTGATTTTTCAAATATAATACTTCTGAAAGGTATTTCATTGTACGACAAGAATCACAAGTACTACCTTTAATCGAAAGTGTTATCATCTTTGGTTAAGTGGGAACTAACCCTGTCATCTCTAGCCTGTGTTTGACATGTTTGCAAGCTGTGGTCTTGAGTGATAAAGATCATTTCTTTCCTCAACAAGATTGCTCCGTAGTTCTCACCTCCTATAAATAGTCCCAACATCATCCCAATATAGCTCCCTGCTGCATTCTGTGATGCGAATGAGTTGGTTTTCAATCAGCTGACTCTACTCAATTTCCCCAAAATAAACTTGTCAAATCATGTTGAAGGAAGAGAGTGCACTTCTAAAGGAGTTCTCCCCTGTGTTTAAGCTTCCATCTGATTCGACGGTGAGGACTTTTTGTAATTTTGTTATCCTGACCATCAGTTATTTTCAGAGTTATGAAATACTGGTTTCAATCGGGACTTTCCCCAACACCTTTGTTGACGTAGATGCTGAATTCATAATTATTGAATTTTTTCTAAGAATACACTCTATTCAAGCCCTTGATTAAAAGCCTTGGGGGAAAATGAAGTTCCTTTGACTATGTTTATGATTTCATGGTGTGTCATGTTTCATGTAGAATTTGACTTCTGACACGAATGAGATTGCAAAACTTTAGCTTTGTAAATGTTTGTCCACTAAAACCTCATATTTGGTGCGTTTTAGGCACATTTCCCCCAAGTTGCTAAATCACGTTGATTTTCGACATCAAATTTATCCTATCTATAGATTCCATCTTCTATCAAAAGTGGATACTTGTTTCCCTGTTGTAATCATCTGTGATACTTATTGAATACCTTTTCTTTTAATCAGTTATGTCAGATGTTGAGAAAAAAAATTGCATACCACCGTATATAGGTACATTGTTCATCTATATATGCTGCACATACTCGACCTTCCTTTTTAGCGTTCAAGGATGCAAAATAGAACCACACTAAATTGATCTCTCTTCAGCTGCTTGTTTAAAAGAAGTGTGCTTGACACAAATGCATGTAGTAATGTCGAGTTAGAACAAAAATAATAGAAATTCAAGTGCCCAAACATTTACAAGAACAAATCATCTGTTAATCCCACCCTAATAATAGCAAACAACTCTAAAAGAAAGCAGAAAAATCATAGAAGCAGAATAGTGAAATTTTAACAAAATCATATTTGAAGTATTCATAATTTTCTTTTTATTGGTTCAATCTATTTCATACTTTCACCATTCTCTTTCTCAGATTTTTCTGCTTTTGCTCAAATGATCTGATTACATGGGTTGTATTGATCTTTAAGAGCGAGAAGGGCGTTAACTCTTTGTTGAAGTGTAGGAAATAACACTCTCCTGGCTCTCAACAGACAATATTTTGTTGAAAGACAGAAAGCATACTTAAAGAACACAATGTGTATTCTATATACAGTGAAACATGTATTTAAAGACCACTCAAGGGAGACTAGAACAGTGGTCTTTATGTACAGGTTTCTTTAGTGAGTGTTTCAATGCGAAACTATTTTTAAGGGTAAATAAAAATTGTTTCATAGACACATGGTCTTTCTATTCAGGTGCTCTTTAAAGCAGGTTTGACTGTATACAAAATAATTAATTTAGCAGTGAGTTTGCACCTGTAAAAAAATATTGTGACTGACTGAAATAGTCCATAGAGTCCAATGAGAAAGGTGATCACAAGTGCAAAGTTGGAATTTAATCTAGTAACCATAGTAACGATACACTGAAGAGCTTTGAGTAGAAATTGAGATTGTACTATGTTTATAAAATTCATCACTCCCACTCCTCCAGGCCATTTACTTGCAAAGAAAATGAATGACTAGAATATTACGCATATAGAGCATTGATGGAATAGTTTGCAAGGCAATGATTGAAGAGGTGCTTTAGTGGGAATGAAAACATCATTAGGCGCCTTTCATATCCTCATTAATGAATGATTAACACCAATGGATGCACATGATGCACTACAAAATGGTCAAAGGACATTCAAGAACATGATTTGAGATTAAAAGTTTGTTTAAAGGGGGTACGGTAATCAATCAGTCTTAGGCATTTTTTTTCTTCATTAGTAGGATTTAATTTGATTTAATGTAATTTTATGACTCAATATTTAACTTTACATGTAAAAAGAATTAGATAAATAATATTTATGATCAAAATTTGCAAATATTTACATTCATAAATAGTTTACAGAGCTATACAACCCTTGAGTAAAGTAGAATTCAGTATCTAATGAACAAGCCAATAGCCAGTCATTAATACTTTCCTTTTCTTCACACTATGAAATTAATCACATGATAAATCTTGGATTGTAATAAGAGATATACAGTACTTATTTTACCAAAGCCAAATACAGAACTCTCATCAAGAGTACTCTATTTTGTAGAAGATTGCCCTCTTGTGTTCAGATTGTGCATAGTATCCCTAAAATCTTTGGTGCTCTCAACACAAGTTCATAGAATAGGGACTCATAATGCTTTTAGAATTGGAGCTGTTTGATTAAGAAGAAGACTGACATCTAGTGTCAGGGAATAGAAAGTAGATTGCTTCACCATGGAATATCCATCCCTTGATGTGAATGTACAGTATTTAACTGGGTTTGAAATTAGGCCTTTACTGTCATTCTTGAAAGAATATTCAATATCTTCATATATTTCACACTTCTGATCTTTGAACAGATCAAACTAAGGCAAATTAAGGGAGGAATACATTCAGGTGTACAAGTTATCATTTTCTTCTTTACTTTATTCATGCATTTTTAATTTTTTTTTTTTTATTGTTGTCATTGATAGATATCAGTTTTGGTTTGAGGTTTTTATGTCGAACTTGCAGCTCGTGATGAAATGCTTTATTTGTTAAAGATTGCATTTGCTTTGCTTTGTTTGCCAAAAGACAGTGGCTTTCTTTTCCTATAATTTTTAATTTTTGATAAAATGAAAATATACTTTCTTTAGAATAAGATATTTCATTATAAATTCTTTTCTAATCTCATCTTTATTGTCATGAAGAACAGACTTTACTAAAAAAGTGAATACTGGTGAGTTTTACTGAAAATCTTTGATAGTCATGGTTATTACCTTATTTCCATTTCCTTAATCCCGTTTAATGTCCCTAATCCCTCTTCCTCCTGATCTTGTTACCAATTAAAGTACCGGTGTCTGATCAAAGAGGGTACACCTGTGGGATGATCAAGGGTGAGAGGTTGTGAAATAATTCAAGCAATGTCATTTTATGATTATCTGTTCATTCACAACTCCTCTTCATGCTCATCTCCTCTCTCTCTCTCTCTCTCTCTTTCTCTCTCTCTCTCTCTCTCTCTTCTTGAGTTGTGGTGTTCTCAGGAGAGATGCGGTAAATTCAGAGGCTGTTTAGGAAACAAGTGTGCTAATCTAAAACAACAAATAAGATAGAAGTGATCCACTTCACTCTAGCTGCCCACCACTTCCTTCTTACACCATACACCCCGGCCCATACAGACAGCCCCCTTTTAGCTCCCCTA